CCCCCCCCCCCCCCCCCAAGGTCTCTAACCGGCGATATTGTTTTCCGGAGTCATAACTCTCTCTCCGGTGGTCGGAATTCGATGGTTCAACTATCGTTGGATTCCTCTCGTAGAGCTCTTTCTCTTGGTGGTTATTTCATTCAGTTTGGAAGGATGGATCTGTTTCTTCAATTTTTTTAGTCAGCGTATTTCGACGGCGGTGGTGTTACCAGGGGTGTAATTTGTTTTTCGCCAGTCGGAATTTTACCCACCGTTGGATTCCTCTCGTCGGGATCTATATTTTGATGTAAATTTCATTCATTTTTATATGTTCTGATTTATTTCTATATTTTTTTGCATTTATGAGCGCGGAATTTCGGGTGGTTAGTGACGGCCAAGACAGTAATATAGAAATGAGAGTAATTTAGCAGCCAAAACAGTAATATTAATCAAAATATTAAAAAAAAAACAAAATAAGAAAAAAAAGTCAACGCCGGAGACCCGGCGGTCAAAGGCAGTTGACCTACCGAAAAAAAAAAGGTTTTCAGAAAAAAAAAAAAAAAAGTCAACGGCGGCGACCGGCGGTCTCTGGTGGTGGCTGGTCAAAATTGGGGTCAAAATTAAAATTATGGTTAAAATTGGTTAATTGATGAAATTGGGCTAAATTGGGGTATAAATCATGAAATTGGAGTTGAATTGGGTTTCAATGAATTGGGGGTAATTTTGGTATACATAAAAGGATTTTCCTTATTTGCAAATAAGTTTGAATGAGCTGGATTTATTTGAAAGACAAAAAAGTTGGATGTCCCTCTAATTAAGTGTCCTTGTCATGGGCCTATTTGTCATTTGCGCTTAATTTAATAGGGGTGATTAAATAAGAAAAAAAAACAATTTTATCCTTAAAATCAGATTGTATTATTTTAAACTGAGTGGTTTTATAGACAATTCATATATAATAATTGAATTTAACAAATTTAATAGAACTAAATCATGGGAATTAATCCAATCTCATCTAATCCAATCTAATCCAATATAGGTAACCGAATGAGCCCTTTATCTATTAGAATCCAATAAAAACAAAACATCACGTAATCTACATGACTACATCTATCTATCTATCTATATATATATATATAACACCATGAACGTACAGTGCTTATTCGTAAGTAATTAAGAGAGAGAGAGAGAGAGAGAGAGAGAGAGAGAGAGAGAGAGAGAGAGAGAGAGAGATGGAGAATAATCATCAAGATTATGCATCTGCGTACCAATATCCACCAGGTTATCGATTTGCACCAAAGGATGAAGAGCTAATCAGGTTATCGATTTGCACCAAAGGATGAAGAGCTAATCACCGAGTACTTGGTCAAGAAGATCAACAATCAGCCGATCCCCATCGACGAAATCAGAGTTGTCGATTTTTACAAATATAATCCTGATACTTATTCAGGTTTGTTCTTTAACTTCATTACTAGCTAGATCGATATTTCTTTAATTTTTCCTTCTTGTTTTCATTTTATGATTTATGTTGATGAGTTTAGGGTTTTACTTCATCAAACGATCTTCGCCTAGGGTTGAGTGAGTTACGTATATTTCACATGCATGCATGC